AGAAGCAAGAGTTGTTGTAAATATTTGGCAATTTCTTAAATTTTGGCTGAATGAATTCAAAAGTTGATATTTAAACCTCCATTTTGTGCCACTTTTTTATTTTTATAGCGCTCAGGTAAGCCACGCAATGAGAAGATTGGGTAATAAGTTATAAGATCAATTAGCATTCAATACAAAGCATTCGATTAGTAAATAATTTGTAAATTAGTATACTAACTAGTAAAATAACTAGTAAAATAACTTGAATTTTCATAAAATAGCATGAAATATGCTGCAATTTCATAAATTGTAATTAAATTAGATCGAAATTCCGTACAACATATCAACGTATACAAATCATACACATTGATTTAGTTGCAGCTGGTTCAACTCTTCGTCAATCTCATGAACTCTCCTCTCAGGTTTCCTTTACGTGCCTAACACACAGTGGAAGTTTCCTGTAGAAAAATTCACCCTCACCGCGCGAACCCACGACTAATATTCAGTAATGTTCGCAGCAAATGGGGAGCCTACATACAAAGCGAAATAAAACCAAGAATAATTAATGAAAACCAAATTTAATTATTTAAATTAATTAATTATATTATATTTAATATAATTATAATTATATTAAATATAATATAATTATAATTATATTAAATTAACAAAACGAATTTTTATATAAAAATTGCACGAATCGCATCAACCACTTTCATAAAAGAAAAGAAAATGTCTGTCTTTACGTGGATTTAGTAAATATTTAAATTACAGTAAAAACTACTTTAACAGTGCGTGTGACCTTTTAAAACGCAATTTAAACGTTATAAAATATTAATTTTGCGTCGAACAATACAGAAAACAATATTAAAAATTCAAAAGCCATTGTTGCACCATTGAAGATTAGTAAACAACAGGGTTACCATGATTATTACTTATGACTTTGATTAATTTTCTTCATAATTAAGTCACATTTTATTCCCAAATCAAATTCACAATGAGAAAAATTCCTCTCATCACCTTTAGAATTTCTTAAGCTGAAGGAGTAGTTAATTAAATTAATGTTTTCTCGATTACAATAAAAGAAAAAAATTACAATGACGATTCCCCCCAAATTATCATATAATTAAACAAATCTTCAGGCAATTGGATTAACTTTGCTAGCAAATTTAATTAATGCTATTTTTTCCCCCTTCATTGACAAGTTTCCTCTTTCTGAAGGGGGAACCATTGAAGATAAACAAGAGATATCACAAACGAGAGGTGTTTTCTGCAATTTTAATTGATTTATGTGAATTCTTAATGGTTTTCGGTGGGTCGTTCACGTATCTGCTGTTAGTATGAAACATGTATGAATGGTAACTCCAACCTCCGACGACGGACGCCTTCCAACGACGGACATCTCTATACATAGGCTACTTTTATGAAAACTTTTCACTTTTTAAGCGAAAATGAACGCAGAATGACATCCGGAGAAGTCCACCACCGAACAAGAAATATTTTTTTTGTTTCGTCACTGGCTGTTGTTCAGAGGTTTGAAGAAATTGATGTGGAAATATGTCTTATTACACAAATAAATCGAGATTTTCTTCTGATGTTTTTATTTTAGAATTGTGGATTTGAATCCTATCACTCAAATTGTGGCTAAAAGGTTGTCTTTTTAGTCAAAGAATTAGTTCTAATTATGCACAAAGGACTCAAACCCATAATTGGGGAATAAAAAAGGTTCAAATCTATGACTTCATACTCAAGTTAAGGTCGTGGGTTCGGATCCCGGCATTAAAATTACGATTAAAAAATACTTTTAATTAAAGATCGCTTACTAATCATACACAAGAAGGTTTAAATTGAAGGATTTAAAGTCACTGGTTCGAATCATGGAAGAGATTTAACCTACGACTTAAATCCTTCAATCCTCCAATAGGTATGGAAGGGTTTGAACCTATGATTTTAATATCGATAATTGAACCCATGATAAATGAAAGAATTTAGTCTTAGATACAACCTCTTCCATGATTCGAACCCGTGACTTTAAATCCTTCAATTTCAACTATTGTTGATAACAAATTTTTAATTAAAAGTATTTTTTAATCGTAATTTTAGTGTCTGAATCTGAATCCACGACTTAAACTTGATTGTGACGTAATTGTTTCGAACTTTTATTTTATTTCGATTACGGGTTCGAATCCTTCAATTAATACTTTTTCGTATATTATTGGAACACACGACTCACGAACTAGTTTTAAAGCATGGGTTCGAACTCACGACTTAACCTATTATGAATAACAAAATTAATAAAATTTTATCACTTAATTTAATTAATTAATGTAAAATTGCCATCCGGATGAGGAGAAGGATGCTCCTCCTCATAACATGTAGCAATTAAGTGCTGCAGTGTTGCACTTTATTATAAAAAAAAATTAAATTTCTATAATAAATTTTTAAAATTTTAATGAATTTTGTAATTCTTTAAAGATTATTCTTTATAAATTTATATAAAATTTAATTTTACTGTTTAATAAATTTATAAAATGGCNACTTAATTTTTTAATAAAATTTGATATAAAATTTATAAAAATTATTATTAAAATGAAATTAATTAATAATTTCTTTAAAATTCGCTAGTTTTTTAGTAGTAAAGACGCATTTTCGTTCAAGAGCTTAACAGTAAAGGTTGCGTGTTTGTCGCCATTTATAGGTTTAAACTTATTTAAAATTGATGTAAAATTAAAATTTAAATAAAAATTAAGTTTAAATTTAATTTATTTAAGTTTAATTACTTTATTTTAAAGTTTAAATAAGAAATTTTCAAGTTAGAACAGACACAATTTTGTATACTCTTCGGTTTTATCTGGAGTTTATCATCATCACTTAAAAATCAGTTTCTGCTGTATATTTTTAAAGAAATTTTACGAAATTTATTATAATTCTTATAATTTTTTATTATAAAAGCATTTTTTTTCATAATAAAAACTCGTCAGCATTTGTTCTCTTAGATCTTACTCCTGAAAATGCTAAGATGTTATTCAACATCTTAACTAACCTCCGCATCATTTAATAATAAAAATTAAAAATTTATCTGATTTAAAGGAATATTTATTTTTATTTCTAAATAAATATTTATTTAACATTTAAAACTTTTTATCTTCTTAGTATAATTTAACTTGGTTCTTGCATTTTTTATATTGCTTCGTATGAATGAATCTTACACTAGGAAGGCTCATGAAAGATAATTATTCCCCTTAATTTTATTAATATTAGAGACATTTATGAGAAATTTCCCTCATTTATAAAAAAAATATCTACAGTTTTGTCTCAGAATTAATAGGTAAAAGTAAATTTTGAAGTTAACAGGAGAAACCTTCGTTCTATCTTGTTATCCCAAACTTTCAACAGGAATCCTAAAAGTTTAATGATGTCAGACTTTATCGAAGTTTACGTTGATTTCGCAAAATATTATGTACCTTTTTATTCGTTTCATTAAACTTTTGGCACATTTTAAGCCTCTACATCTGCAAATGTAGGCAAAATTTTGCTAAATTTTACAGAAAAATAAAGATTTTAAGTAAAAATAAACATTCTATTTTCGCAGATTTTCTATTAGTTACATCAATTAAATGGATAAACTCAGATAAGATACTGAGGAAGATGCAGAAAATCTCAAACTGTAGATGATCCATTGAAGATTAGTCTCTCAATAAATGTCCTAAATTCATTTTAAATTACATAAAATATAAAATAATCTTCATATATTGCTGATTATATATAAATTTTAATTCATCTCTGAAGCGCATCTTTCCTCCAGTTTATCCATTGGCACTTCTCAATAACGCGAACAGGAAGAAAGTTAAGAGTAGAAATTATAATATTTTAACATATTTAATGCTTATAAATGGTAAAATTTCTTCAATTTAAGCATTTATACTATGGTCCTAAGTTAATTTAAATCCTATCAAAGTCTTAAACTTGTGAAGAACCTATCTTTGCTCCAAGTCTGAAATCTTCTTTGAAGTCATCTATTTTCACTTTCAATTTCTTGGACTGATTATCAATCTTATCCGACTGGTCGTTCATTTTCTTTTGTAGCTTCTCTTTCTTCTATTTTAGTACTTTTATCCATTCATCTACGCTTCTTTTCAATAGACATGTTTGTTTTCTGCAAGATAAATCCTACTTTCTGTTCGCAAGTTTCGAACAAAAATATACATCAAAGTTGAGCATTTTAAAGAAAATAAACTTAAAATTTCGAAACTTTTGTTAATTTTACATAAAATTTAAGGATATTTTTAGAAAATTGGCATGTTTATAAATCAGGAATTTTATATTTTCATAAGGTACTTCATAATTTTCGAAGTGTCTCTGCACAAAAGAATTGATTGATAGTGTCATTAAAATACAACTTTCTAACTAGGAATTTAGACTATTTTTCAGCCATTTTAACAAATAATTTTATAGAATTTTTTAAGTCTGATAAACAATCAAATTCATAAGATATAGCAGTTTTGAAGCAGGAAATTCATAAACTCGACTCTTTAATTACGATTTACTAGTAAATATTTTTTTGATCCCACTTTTGATTGGATAAATTCGAAATTTTAAACTAAACTGCAACTATTTCGCGAATAACACGAAGAAAAGAGTAAGTAAAAGGAAAAATTATATAATTTCTAATTTAATTTATTCAAAAAAAATCTAAATTTTTAGGTGGAAACACATCTTTAAACGAGAATACCCGGCGTTTTCCTTTACAGAGAATGGTAAAATTATGTATTTTAAATCTATTTTTCTTATTATAAAATCAAAATTTTGATTCATTCTCCTAGATTTATTATACTTTAGATTTGATCTACCCTCTCTGGAGATGGCGATAAGACTCTTTCATTCATAGCATCATCACGCCTCAGAGTGATGGCTTTACAAGTGTTTCCATTATGTACTACAGAATTTTAAAGAGCAGATGAAAAAACATGTTGGACATTATTTAGATATTTGTTTGTTTTTGATCATAAATTACTTTTGCTTACCTTCCTTCACTGACTGTAATGTCTTTGCCAGATGGTGCTTGCCACGTCAATCTGGTTGCACTGCTGTCTTCGATAGCATAACAGGTGATAAAAAAGCTTTCGTTGGTAAAAAAAGCATGCTCTGTTCCTTCAGGACTTAGATAGAGGGGAGCCTTACTGACACCTGCAAGAAACAAACACAAGAAAAAAAGAAACAATGAAGTTTGATCGATCTTGATCGATTTTTCTTATCTTCTAGTCAGTGAATTGTCTCTTAAGGGATTTTCTAAAGAATTGTGTTTTTGTGTGAATCGTTTGACTCTTTCAGATAAGTTTATTTAAAAAAACGACTTTTTATTTCTTTTATATATGTGACATATCTTCTACTGGAATGGAGAGAGGGAAGATTATAGCATCTGAAACGATTACATCCTTGATAAATTAAGTTGTTACCGTCTTAGAGTGTTGTAAATATTAAATATTTATGGTCTTTGATGTTCTACAAGAGGAGGAAGAGCTTTCTGACACCTTTTTCTATATCAAATTTCATAAAAGAAGAGAGAAAATCTATAATAAAATGCAACTATACAAAATGGAAGATGGAGCGACGTTACAGTACTTTTCTATTTTTAAAACATCGCGAGTTTGTAAATTTACTAAAAACTTTATATTAAAATGTCATGAAGAGAAAGAAAAGTATGATAATATGCAAATATATCTAAGCAGATACATGAAAATTTGTTTTAAAGAAAGAGCACCTTATACAGAATATTAAACAGTGTAGTAAGAAAAGATGCAGAGGAGGAATCAACAGAAAGAATATTGTAGATTATGAAAAAATATATATATATCTTTATAGTGGAAATATGTTTATATTTAAGAAAATAATAAAATATTTAGAACTTTAACGTGAAAAATAGGCATGAAAATGAATGTAAAGTAAACACAAAGATGCAAATTAAGGTGGATTTTTCATGCTTTAGTTTATCTTGTTCTCGAAAGGAAGCTTAAGATAAAACTTAAAATTTCATAAAGAAAACTAATAAATAACTTCAAAACATTAAAAACTAAATATAAGTTAAAAAGTTAAGAAAATTCATTTACTTATATCATAAAAAAAAACTATAATTAAAAAGTGTAAGAATGGATCTATACAAAAAGTATTTATGTAAAAAATATAAAACAAGCAAATTTTAATTTTGATAAAAACTTTCATCTACAAACAAAACTTAATTTTCATTAAAAGAATTGCAAGAAAAAAACAAAAAAAAACAAAAAAAGAGATATATTAAACAACGCTTTCCAAGTCGATTCATTAAAGAAACTTGATTAATTAAGTTTAATTTTCTTAACTTATTAAATTATTTATGCTTCATGCTTGTGCTTTCATTAATAATAATAAAAAATTGTAAAAATATATAAATGTATATATAAAAAATTACTTTATAAACATTTAAGGATAATTTTTCTTAATGCATGAAACAGTTGTGAAAGTTGAGAAAAGTCATGAAAAAAATTGAAATTTTAATTAAAAAATACTGAAATTTTCTAAATATTTAGCTTTATCGCTTTTAATTAGATGTTTATAATGATAAAAATTACAATTTTTATAACTTCTTTACAAAATAATTTGCAGAGAAGCTATCTGAATGAGTTTTTGCTGCATCCTTTAAATCAGGCTTCACTGCTAACGATTGTACTATGCGAAGAAGTTTCAGGCGCTGTATTCTTAACAGTCAAATTTTTAAAGGAATTTTAAAGAAATTAAATTAAATTTTTAAATTATATAAGCAATAAAATATAATGTAGCAGCTGATAAAATTTATTTAAAATTATTCTTTAAAAAATCTGTTATATTCAGTAAGTAAAGCATCCATATGAAAATCATTTATCTATTAATTTATTGTTATAAATAACGCTATTATTAATGTTAGATATAATCATACAGTTCTTAAGATATATATTTACTGTATAATATATATTATATATAACTCCTTTGCAGAGAAATTTGCAAAAAAACTATACACTAAGAAAGCTCTGTGCCTCTTAATCCTGGCTTTACTGCCAACGTGCAGTGGAGGAAACCATGAGGGGAAACTACAAGTATAGCTAATTGTTTAGCTTTAAATTAAGCTTAAATATACATATTTTCATATTATAAAAATGTATAAAATTATAAACTTGATAACTAAAAGTTCTATTTTTATCATAAAACTTCCAAAAAATATAAAAATTTATCTATTTATATGTGTTTAGGTATCTGTTATATGCTGAAAGTTTAAAAATTTATGGAAAAAATATAGTTTTCTTATGTAAAAACATAAAATATTTATTTATTTATCTTTAGATCATACTTATTAATCATTTAATTTAATAAATTTGATATAGAAGGTCGTAAAAATATTTTTCCATTCATATAAATTAGGGACTTTATTCTTTACAGCAGATTATTTTATAAAATTTTACAGATTTTAACTTTATTTCAAATTTTATAGATCACTGTAAATTTTATATTAATTCTATAAAATTTATATAGCATTTATTATGATGGAAACATAATTTCTCAAGAAAGTTGTCAGAGAACTTTCATTTCGCTCTTAATGTTGGCTTCTCTGTAAACATAACCTGCTATGAGGAGAAGCTAAGAAGGTTTCGTCTTAAAAAAACGCATTCTTAACAATAATTTTAGTAAATTGTATACCTGTTTTAAAAGGAAAAAAGTAAAAAAAGTATACATTAACTACGCATAAGATTAATTTCATTTAATCTAGATTTATTTAAGAAATAAAACAGAAAAGATCTTATGAACTTTAGGATACGAGATACACATGGAAAAATTTGAGCATCATTAAGATATAACTGTTAAATTTTATGTTATATAAATTTTATAAGGTATTAAACTTTATTATTTATAATTTTTAATAGTATTTTTCATTTTATTAACTTTATAAAGCATTTAATCCCCTTACAATTCTTCGACATGTTGCAGTTCACGCAGTGTATGTTTTTTTTGCATATTTTATCATCAAAACATAACTTAATTATGGTTTTTAAATACTAAACCGCTTGGATAGCGATTAATAAACCAAAGTTAATAGGCGATATCACAAAAATAAATAGGACAAGAGACATAAATGAGAAAATATGGAAAAGACATTTACTTTAGCCAAGTACATTAATGATTCTGAACTGAGATAAGTGTCGATGCTTAAACATAGGAGGAAAAGGAAAAAAAAAGTTGGATTGAAAGTCAAAATGATGGATGGAAGTCTACCTCGTTAATGACGACCCATTCAATTAAATGTGTCCTCCACTACTCTTAACGATACCCTGTTACAGCGATAAATTTCAAAGGAAAATAATAATAATAGTAATAATATAAACGGAAAAAAACTCCTCTTTCCATTAGGAAATTGGTCGGTTGACTGCATAAATATATATAAATCTCTAGTAATATCTTTATCAAGTTGCTATTTTAATGGATAGTTCACTTCTTTCGTTAATAGACAGGTGTAAAGAATAATATTCAGAGAAGAACAGCAAGAGCAGCATCAGTATCAGTGGATGAGGAGAGACAAATGTTCTTTAAACGTTTTATATGATTTAGAAACTTCTGAAGCTCGTTTATAAGAAGAAAAATTGAAAAGAGAGAAGTTAAATTATCTACTAAAAAAGAAGAAGGAGACGAAATTAAAATGTGGAAGAAGTTATATTAAAACGTGTAAATATTAAAAGTGTAAATGAAGTAATAAATTTTCTTGGAGTTTCCATGAAAATATATTTTATCTTTCAGTTAAAAACAAAATTTTAAATGAATTTATATAATGATGAAGAAGATATTTTTTCCTATTTAATTTCCTCTTTTAATGGTTTTTACATCATAATAAATGGTTTCATGTTTACGTATAGAACAATTTACTTAATAAAATAATTTACTAAATATTACTTTTATATATTTTATGGATTTTATCGTGTGGAAAGGTATTTTTCAGCACTTTCTTACAGCAAAAAAAGATTGGCAAAAAAGCTGATATCAAGGATAAACTTAATGAATTTGCTTTATGTTCCTTAATGCTGGCCTCTCTGTCAGCATCGCTTGCTTTGAGGAGAAGCTGCAAAGGCGTTTATCTTAAAAACATGTTCTTTTTAATAGAATTTAAGCAAATTATATTAATTTTTAAAATAAAATTAAGCAAATGAGTACAAATTACCTATTGTTAAAGTTTGATTTAATTAAATAAAGTATATTTGAAAAAATAAGACAAAAAGTACCTTCGAGAATCTCATTGCATTTAAATTGCATTTAAAACCTTCACCTAATATAAAAAACTTTATCTTTATATATAAAAAATTATTATATAAAATTAACATTATTTTTTTTATACTTTATACAAAAGTTTTGATGAAGTTATTCATACAAAATAGGACAATTTTATTCCATCAAAGATACCATTCAAATATGTAAGAAATATTGATTTTCATCATCCTTTCTTGATAGTGTTTACTCCTACATCATCAACACGAAACTAGACATTTAGCTTGCAATGATTGTTTGAATTTCTTGAGCCATGTAAAGACTGAAGTTAAATTACTACATATAAATGATGATAAACCAGGAATAACAGCGAATATAATAAAAATAGAAATCATGTATATCAATAGTAAAATAATTTTTAGGAATTCTGTTTATATACAGTATTTAACCCACAATATACTTTTTCTTTATATATATTATATACTTTTTTTTATAAAATTAATATAAATGTTATCATTGAGCATCATTTATCCAAAGGTATCTTACTGAGATTACAGTCATCAATGTCATTTCAAATTACTCTTCTCGTCATCTATGTTTATTATTATTAAGTTTTTAAGTATGTACTGACAAAAAAATCACTATTACTTTTATAAATGAAACTTATACACCATGATCTTACGAGTTTATTCCTTAATATTATAATCTATGAGGATGCACAATACTCTTCTCTTAGCATCCTTGGAGAGATGCCCAATATATACACTCAGCATCCATAAAATTATCAGAAATACTTTTTAAGGATGATAAGTGAATATATAACCTTTATACAATCTTTCTCTTATATGTAATAAAGATATTTACAAGATAAATTAAAATTTTATCATCAAGAATCATTTATCCAAAAGCATCCTATCTTTTTTTTAATA